CATGTTGCCATATCATTTTTTGATTATTTTTATCATAACTCTGGTTTTACGTGGCCATCAACACAATTTAAAAACTGGTATAAAGTCCACACTTTTTCTGTCAGTTGTTCCGTCTGTCCTGCTCACATCTCCAATGGTTGTACACGTTGTCATTAACGTGGCTTCACTCCACATCAGCCACGCCGCTTTGCTAGCTAAAACACCGGTGTCGGCACATAAGGACGCTGTCATAGCCTGTCAACGACGTTGATTAGCTGCGTATATACGAATGTGAATCGCATTATTGGCTGGCCTATGGGATAAGGTGGCATCGTTCTAATTCCATATGGGAGCAGCCAGTCACTTACTGACTAACACCGCAAAACAGAATTGTTTAAGTTTTAATTGTAATTTCAATTCAGGTTAGATTTTTTTTTGTGCGCAACACAGATTTTCTGTGCGCAGAGACCATGCCAGCAGAGCGCAATTGCGCACGCGTGCAGCTTAGAGGGAACATCGATCACAGTCATTCTGATTACCTTTTTGCTTTATTCAAGGAATTACCAAATATGTCTTAGGAGCTTCACTAGCAATGCTCAAACTGCTCTTGTCAAGGTCTCAAACAATCTGCTGCTGACTGTGTGCTCTTCTCTATTTTCATTCTCCCTGACCTCATCTCAGCCTTGCATATTGTGGACCAGAACATTTAATTCAGTCAGTCTAAAGAACAGTGCTGGTATCAGTGATGTGACGCTGGATTGGTTTATGTCAGGTCTATCAAACAAGTAATTTTCAGTAATGACTGACAAAGCCTCATCTTCTCATTCAAATGGATGGAGTTGATTTTCACTGCTATGCAGGCACAAATGTCTTATAATCTGTTACCGCTGATATCTCACATATTAGGTCCCGTCTAGCTGAATTAGGAACTGGATGTCTAAAAACATTCTAAACCTGAATGATCATAAAATTGAAGTAATTATAATTACACCCTCGTCCCCCAGCACTAGCAGCACTTTTGATCTTTTTTCTAATCTGGGTCTCCTACAGTATTTAAAAATGTCTGGAGAGAGACTCATAACCTGGGGTAATTTTGGGTCCAAGCTCTCTCTTTTATATGCAGGTGTTTAAAGTTATGCAGTCCTGTTTCATTCCGCTTAGGCAGATATGATTCCTATCTCATTTTGATTAAGGTCATCCATGCTTTTATGTCCTCTGGACTTGACCACTGTAATGCACTTTATTCATCGTCATAACATAAATAAGATACAAATAATTCAAACTGCAGCTGACAGGCTTTTAACAGATAGCAAAATAAGTGACCAGATGAAATCAGTCTTTACAGCTCTTCACTTCCTACCTGTTAGCCTTAGAAATTATTTTACGGCTCATTTTTGAAGCCTAACTTTGTTAAGCACCTGTCTGCATATCTAAGCTGCTGTATCCATATGAAACTTCCTGCTGCCTGAAATATTCAGACATGCCTGATGCCTCTGCCTAATGACCTCAGGCTTCTTCTAAATGCATTTTTACTTTTTGGCTTTTTAAACCCACTAATGTCTTATTGACCAAAGCAACTTCTTTAATGTGTAAGATTGCATGAGTACTGGTTTCTCTTCAATTTGAAATTGCTTTTGTTTCTACTGAAATTATTTATTTTTAGTATTTGTGTAGTTCAGTACAACTTTATTTTGAAAAGGCCTTTATGAATATAATGTGATATATTCATATATGTGATATATATGAATATATATAAACTAAAATGTAAAATGTACTAGATGTACTCACATGCACATCTTGCTTTCAGAATAGCCCAGCTGTATATCACTGCCTTCCTGCCTGCTGTGCCAGTGAGTCGCTGCTTTTCTCCTTAACCTTTATACAAACATTCAAAACCAATGTTTGACGTTTTTTGTGCTGTGCAATAATTTATTATTCTTCCGTAGGCAATGTTTCTACATCATCTTCAGGTGTCTTACCTGCAGAACCAGGTCCATTTCTCTATTCCGATCCCGTACTGGTTTTACAGATATTGTAAATGTTTCTAAAACTAATTACAATTTTGGTGGAAAAGGAAATGTAATCACGCTGACTACATTTTGTATTCTCAGGGAATCATACTGCCACAAATGTATAGTGCTGCTCTGGCAAACATTGCAAATGTGGTGACAAACTATATTTTTATTCACTGGCTGGATCTGGGTGTTAGGTATGCGAACTCACACTCATATCACTTTAATGCTTTAATTCTGAATAAAAGAATTTAACACTGATATCAACCCAAATGTCTTGCAGTGGCTCTGCAGCTGCAAATACTCTGTCTCAGATTTACATCTGTACTTTTCTGTTTGCTTACATTTTGTGGAAGAGGCTTCATGTAACAACATGGGGAGGTATACTGAGAACAGTGATGATCTCATGCACCATCTTGTTCTTTTCCCTAGTTTTATATAAATGAGTGTCTCTCGCCCCCTGCAGGCTGGTCTGTAGAATCACTGCAGGACTGGGGCTCCTACATGAAGCTGGCTATTCCCAGTACATTAATGAAATGCTTTGAGTGGTGGGTTTATGAGTTTGGGGGATTCTTTGCAGGTAATCCTTTTTTTTCTTTTAGATGATCATAGACAATCTAAAAATATTTGAATCATGCCTGCTCTTTCTTCTTTGTCTGTAACAATCAGGAATGCTGAGTGAAAATGAGCTGGCAGCCCAGCACGCTGTCATGATGGTGACTGTCATAACATATATGGTAAGGTTTAATCACTACAAATCAGAGAATTAAATTCTCCCTTTAAAATATTTCTTTGGTTGCTTTGAACCACCTGAGAGCAAAGTTTCTCCTATACTTTTTCCTTTTTTTTTCTTTTTCTTTTTTTTTTTTTTTTGGCCTGTCCCGTTTTGGCTCCTATACTTTTTTCATAATAATGAATCCATAGTTCCCTCTTGGTATTCAAGCTGCGGCATGTGCCCGGGTGGGTAATGCTCTTGGTGCAGGAGACACCGGCAGAGCACTCCTAACTAGCAAGATGTCCCTTACTCTTGCAGGTCAGTTAGAAATGTATCGTGATTTATATTAGTTTCCCATAACTTTATTACCGTTATACAGATTTTGGAGCTCTTGTTTTCTAGGTAGCATTGCAGTTGTAGAAGGCCTTGTCCTTGGCTCCGTCAAAACAGTGATTGGCTTCATCTTCACGTCAGATGAGTGAGTTCAGCTGCATTCACATTTCACTAACAGTAATATTCCTAAACACTGTTGTTGCATTCAAAGATTGGCAAGGATGTGCAAAACCTTAATTAAACCTTTTTCTTTCAGGAAGATCATAGGTCTGGTCTCACAGCTGATGAATGCTTACTGTTTCCTTCAGTTCTTTGATGGTCTCGTGGTGAGTTTTAGTTACACTTGGCAGCGCGTGTATGCTCCTAAAAGCATGACAAGTAAAAAATCTAATATAAAGTTTATCTCTGTTTCATCCAAGTGTGTGTGCACGGGCATTTTCTTAGGCACAGGGAAACAGAAGATTCCAGCTGTGGCTAATTTCATTGGATACTACTGCATAGGGCTTTCTCTAAGTATCACGTTGACATTCGTTGCAAAACTAAGAGTGTTGGGTAATTGCACAAAGTGATGCTTTTTTTGTAATTTACTAAAATGAGCTTTTAAAGTGAAGCTTGCCTTGCACTTAAGTAATTTGTCATTTTCTCTGCAGGTTTCTGGCTTGGACTGCTTGTTTGTGTCATTTTACAATCTACCTTCTACATTATTGTCATCTTTAAGCTGAACTGGGAACAAATCACTGAGGAGGTATCATATGAAAACAACCAATAAAGATACTGTGCCTCAAATTGAAGATCAGTTTATACTTAGCTTCCAAGACCCAAAAAATATTAATGAATCTATTGCTTACACTGACTTTTCATATTTACAGGCTGTGAAACGGGCTCAGAAAAATCCTTTGTTATTAGGAAGAGCTCCCGTGACAGGCACTGTGGATAACAACACCCAAGATCAAACATCAAGTAATGTGAAGTATATATATATAATATATATATATATATATATATATATATATATATATATATATATATATATATAATATATATATAATATATATATATATATATATTATATATATATATATAATATATATATAATATATATATATATATATATATATATATATATATATATATATAATATATATATAATATTTATATATAAAAAAAAATAAAATATATATATATATATATATATATATATATATATATATATATATATATATATTTTTATAGATACGAAAAGTCCTGAGCCACCCTTTGCTCTTTTGACATTGATTGCTTTTCTACTCATTTCAGTCCTTGTACATGGCCATTTTCAGAGGAATGATTTCCTTGTGTTTGCTAAGTCACTTAAGCAGTGTGACCAACCTGCTGGTGTTTTTGTTTCATTTTTCCTAGCTGATGGATGGGTATATGTCTGTGAGCACTGAGTGCCAAGACAGGGGCACTGTGGTGCAGGATCGAGATGTGACACAGAAGCTGAAGGGCAGCCGCCTCTCCATCACCCAACTGATCCTCCGGCGAGGCCTCATTATGTTTGCTGCAGTTGCACTTCTTGCTGTGGGAGCAGGTGTTCACTTCCTTGTGCCTTTGCCCGAGACCAACTCTACTGTGGACTCGATCAACACTACATATACTCCTGATCAAATTTTCTCCACCATGTTGGTGCCAGATGAAGAGTCAGAGTGAACAATAGATAACTGCAATGATTCTGTTTAATGTTGTAAGAACAGAAAATCTGATGTTGCCTTCTCAAACCAGTTTTAGTTTGATTTGTTTGTCTCTACAAGACTGAACACAGGCAAATATAATGCTCGTTCATTGATTAATCAAGAGACCATTCATTCATTTCCTGCTCGTCTGCCTTTGTGCCTGCTTGTGCCATCCGTTACTGTCTGCTTTGTAATGCAAATGCTAGCATATTGCTGAGACCTCCCAGAAAAGCAGCACTGGAGTTATTTCCCTGAACGAGACAGACATTACTCATGTTCAGGTAGCCAAGTTGGTGATAAGTAGGTTCAAAATAATACCAACAGCCAAGATGAACAACATGAAAGCTAGAGCCAAGCCTCTACGCAGAACCAGAGTCCTGAAAGAGAGCTCTCCTTCAGCTGTCCTCACTGTTGTTTCCACCTGAACATCCATCAGATCAATGGTGTCTGCTTGACCCACTGAGTTACCAGAGTCTTCTAGTTGGGTACCTGGACATAAATATATGCAAATGTTCCATGTTAGGGATCATGAAATTATAATTGTTATTCAAAATATTGTTCACAGTTTGGAAGTTTTCTATATTAATTGCTGTATAATCAATTTCTAAAATCTCTGAATTGTTTTTTGTTTGTTAGTTTTTTTATGGTTGTATCTGCTGATCCAACTGAGTGCTTTTTTAGTGTTGCCATAGACTGTGAAGTTAAAGATGTTAAAGGACATTTAAAAAATATGAAGATCTTGGTTTCTGATTGTTTAGCAAATACCAATTTGCAGACAAAAATTTGGACTTTGAACATTTCATACTTTTAGACCATGCATGATTAAAAAAAAGAAAAGAAAAGTAAGGACACTTGCTACATACAAACATATCAAAATGACAACAATAATAAAATAGCTATAAAATATGTTATAGGCCTTTAAAAGTGTTAAATGTATTTACTTCTACATGTAGATTGTGCTTTTTTTTTAGTTTACCCTGTCTACAGCAACTAAAGCATGACACTTTTAGGATCATTGTCAAAGATAAATTGTAAGTCACACCACTTGGTGAAGTGAAGGTAGGAAAAGATTTTAGCCTTTGCTAAATATTAAAGAAGTTACTGGTGACATAATGCTGTCCTAACCTTTCCGCACTCAACACGTTTTATTGTGGCTTGAATATGACAAATGTAGTTTGCACATACATATGGAGACATTGTTGCAATAATCAAACTAACAACAACATAATTCATTTCTGGTGGCGCAGGATACATTTGTCGCAGGTTTTGCGACAAATTTATCCTGCGTCATTTTTGGGTCCACAATGTGGTTATTGAAGATTTGGGGACACAACAGTCTGTAAAATCTTTTTGAACAATGTAGATACATAATTCAAATACACAAACAAGATTCATTAAATATTCTTCTAAAGGTATCTTTTAAACTCTGTATGTTCTACTTCCACACAGAACTGTTTTGTTTCTCGTGATGAACAGGATAAACACTTTTCAGCCAAATTAAATAATTTGTGAAAACTGTCCCATACCTGTGTCTGTGGAGCTTACATGCACTCCTGCTCTGATCTGAGCCTGCAAGACAAATCAATGCGTGATCCTTTAATCATAAAGAGACAGCCGAAAACTACTGAAAATTAAATATTTATCCTTAAACACAAACCTCAACTGTGACGTTTTTCCAGTTCATTCTGATTAGATAGAAAATCAGGAATGAGCATTGCAGGAACACACAGGTTAACAAGCCTGTCCACAGACCTGAGGAAAACAAAACATGTTTTTCTTTAAGAGGAGGAAGGAGATGTTGATGCTGTGGTAGAAATCAAATGAAAAAAAGAACTGTAGGGACAAAAATAACATGGATACAAACAGCTGATGGTTGAAAACATCTCACCCATGATTCCTAATTTGGCTGCAAACATCAGTGACACTCCAATTGGAAAGCCAACACCATAATATCCCAAAATGTTGCAAATAGCTCCAACTCTCTGTTTGCCTGCTCCTCTTATTATGCCACACACGGCAGCCTAGTGACGCAAAAAGGATAAAGACATGGTTAAGTACCCACAAACACATACTTTATGGGATGTTTCTGGGGTATGGCAGATACTCACAGATGTTGCATCGAGTAGAATGAAAGGAGCATAAAAAGATAGGACATCTGAAACCCTTTGCCTGATTTGTCTGAAAGAAGAGAGTCTAAATTTTTAAAGTGAGACTGGTGAGTTTGTAAAAACATATTTTTGTGTAATTTGAGCCTTGTGCAACATTATACAATTATGCTGTTTTAGGAACAGGAAATATGTAAATAATTATCAGCACAGCTGAGTGCAGCTACCATAAACCTTTTTGTCTATTCAGTATAAGAGAGATTATGTAAGCGAAGGATGACAGTAACTTATGTAAGGGTAAAAGGTCGTTTATGAGGCCTGCTATCTCCCCTAGACTTGATACTGAAATTGCATGTGTAAGTGTAACCCATGCTGGTATTTCCTTTCTTTTTTCTTTTAAAGTAACAACTGCTGCGATTTTTAAAACAAACAAAAAAAAAACATAAAATTATATACGCACTCATCATATGTAAAAACATAAGAGATGTGGTCCTTTAGGCTCCCGATGAGAGTTGACAAACATATAGACACTGACACTGCAGTAAAGACAGAAATATAATTAAAGATTTACCTTTTTCGGGAGCAACATGCCTTAACAGTCTTTTTCCTTATAGGATCGAAACCCTTTCTCGAGGGCACATCATAGGTAGGTAAAGAGAAGTGAAAATATTCACGCTTTCTGCTAACATTTATAATTACGGAGACTGTTTAAAATTTCTAAGCTACTTTTGTGCTTCCTTCTGGAGAGCAAAATTGGAATTATGCAACATTAAATTATGTAATTAATTACCTTTAATTGACTGTCTTTAAAATATTTTCAAATGAATATTAGACAAAAAACTAACAAAAACAAAAACAAAACACACGGCAAAGAAATAAACATTGATGCATTCTGACCTGCACAGAACATTGACATCTTAGCAGACAGCTTGGCCTGCTCCGTTTCTCCACCTCCCAAAGCATTTCCAACTCTTACACTGCCCGCTATGCTGAAACCCAAAGGGAACTAAAAATAGTTGTTACATTGGATGGATGTAAAATGAGAAAATTCTTTATGAATAAAGTTTTTTGGCAGTGCAGAGGGTTTGTTCACATCAAAAGGGCTCACCATGTATGCAACATTTGCCAGTTGATACACAACTGACTGAGCTCCGAGTTCCACTTCATTTATGAGACCTGTCAATGACAGACAGCGGATAGATTTCAGAGCTGCTTTTCTACAGTCAAAGGCATCCCAAAGTGGCCTGTGGCATTACCTGCTAGAAAGCCTCCAATCTCATATGTCCACCATTCAACACATAGCATGACCATGCCAGGGACAGCCAGGTGGATGTATGAGCCCCAGTCCTGGAGGCACTCTCGAGACCAACCTACGTAAGTGTTTATAAAGTAGATGTTAGCAATTCCCAATGTATATTTAAATTAAAGTGCATACAAAAGCAAAAGAAATAAAATACTTTAAAAATTCTCTCAAAACAAATAGTAGTCATATAATAAACCAATAAATCATTTGTCTACCACATGATTTAAAGCAAATCTCAATACGCTAATTTCCAGTTCTATAGTGTGGGATTATAATATTATTTTATGCCATGTTAGACCC